GTGGCTCTGCCCCAGGCTGGGGCTTCTCTCTCTGTAACTGCCCCGTGGTGGGGCCAGCCGGGTGCACCTGCCACTTGCCCTCTGTGCCCTTGGGCTCTGGACTCTCTGCATCACAGCTAAGTGAATATCAAAAAAAAAAAAAGAAAAAGCTTTGTAGGATACTTGTACTCCGTTTTGGAAAGAACTATATAATAATAAATAGAAGTTACTCTGCTTTTGTATTTCCAGTTCTCGCAAATAAAACTTTTTTTTCCCCTGAAATGGTAGAATGTCGTCTGTCTTTCCAGTCCCGCCGATCCTGGGAGAGGAGCATTTTGCCTCCAACCTCGGGTGTCCCTCTGCGGAGTGTCCTGTCACTCAGTTGGTGTGGGATTGCAGCAGCCTCTGTCTGGGTAGGACTGAGACCAGTCTGAGGAGGGACAAATGGCGGCAGGGGTGGGGGGTGGGGACCGTGTGCTGGAACCCTGGCAGTCTGGGAGCTGCCACTTTGTCTCCCACTCTTCCCCAGCCCCATGTGCCTGGCTCCCCAAGGAGCCAAGGGAGATGCTTTGGACTTGAGCCAGAAAGAAGGCTCCCCTTCCCCGGCCATTCCTGAGGTGCCTGGGGTCAGATGGACCTCCAGAAACCCGGATGAAATGCAAATACACCGGCACCTCTGGATCCAGAGGCCTCTTTCTCTATGGGGCAGCAGAGCCAGTCAGCCTCGGGTGTGTGTGTGTGTGTGTGTGAGCTTGCTCAGTGGGCGGGGGGCGGGAGGGGCGATATTTTTAGCAGCATGCTTAAGCAGCCTGGCCCTGAGCACTGACCCCTTGCTTCCTTCCCCCCGAGTTTCTTGGCTTTCTCCTGTCTGTCCCTGAGTGGGGTGTGCAATGATACCCATCCTTTTAACTTTGTAAGGACACCGGGAGTTGTCGTGGGTGACTTGCTGGGCCACCAAACATGAGTTAGTCCGAAGGAGAAAGATGAGCAAAGATCTATAGCGTGGGGACCCCGCAGGCCAGTGCCACTCTGTCCTGTAGCGTCCCTGTGAGTTGGAAGTTTATGAATCCCCACTGAGTGCTGAAAAGCCTCTCTTCACGACCACCCCATCACACCCCAGCGCACAGAGGCCCTCCCCTACAACACCCACTGTCTGCAGAGCGAGGGGCTGGGGACCCACACTGCTGCACGTGAAGTGCCAGCACGCACTTCGGGGCAGATGCCCATAGAGCAGTGCCCAGGAGAAGTGGCCAAGCTTCTGGGTCGGAGGTCCACGAGCCGCGCCATGTGCTGAGTCACTTGGTGAGTGTTTACAGCGTGTGTGAAGAGCCTGCGGGGGGGCGGCGGCGGGCGTGCGCATCTGTGACAAGTGCCCGGAGTCCTGCCTGCACACCTAGCCATCCTGCTCAACAGCTACCTGAGCCACGGGGAGGGAGAGGGCAGCGACGGCGCGTCTTTGTTTCCCACGGGAAATGATTAGTTGACTAGGCGCTTAAATGGCCCAAGCCCGCAGCGGGAAATGATAATAAGTGGCATTGTACGTGGACCAGAGAACCAGAGAGCAACTGGATCTGTTCCCTAGCTGCTGTCAGGTGCCGACTCAAAGCGACCCTATGTGTGCACGACAGAATGAAATACTGCCCAGTCCTGCACCAGCCTCACAAAGGGCATGTCTGAAGGCGTGGGGGTAGCCGCTGTGTCAGTCCGCCTCCTCAGGGGTCTTCCTCTCCCATTTAATAGCGTTTCTAAGAATTCCTGAAAACCGGTGTGAGCATCCCCACTGTAGAGTCTCAAGCCTTAGGTTCAAGTCACGCGCTGGGAGATTTTGAGGACGGGATCATTTGAGTGCGGATGTCCCTCTTCCCACTTTGTCTATAGCTGTGTTAGTCACCTGTGCACCCCAGAAGGAGTCCT